CGAATCAAAATCATGCATGTAACTTGGATGTATTTATAAAAGTGCATAGATCGTAAAAAAAATTGTTCGATTTTAGGAATGAAGTCAATGTCAAAGACCGGGACCGGGATCGGGACTGGAAAAAAATTTGACCGGGACCGGGACCGGGACTAAAAAAAGTGATTTTGCAGTTCCCTAGATTAAATAGAATTTTAGGTCTTAAAATGAGACAACTGAAACAAGATGGTAGCATTACAATTAGTGGCTCTGTAACCTACTTCCAAGAGAAGGTGTAATACTGAATGAAGTTGTAGTGGATGATATTGTAATGAAAGACGTTGTACTGGAGGGCGTTGTAGTGGAGGGTATTGTAGTGGATAATGTTGTAGTCGAGGACGTTGTGCTGGAGGACGTTGTAGTGGATAATGTTGTAGTCGAGGACGTTGTGCTGGAGGACATTGTAGTGGAGGGCGTTGTAGTGGAGGGTATTGTAGTGGATAATGTTGTAGTCGAGGACGTTGTGCTGGAGGACGTTGTAGTGGAGGGTATTGTAGTGGATAATGTTGTAGTCGAGGACGTTGTGCTGGAGGACGTTGTAGTGGATTTATTATCGAATTGATTATTTATACTGAGTCGCCATTAGAATTGTCAAAAAAATAAAATAAATGGCGACACATTGCATAAAAAACTGACCGGGACCAATATGAAAAATTTTTAGTCCCGGTCCCGGCGGGACCGAGACCGGGACCACTTTGCAGTTCCCTAATTTAATCACACTATTATTAGCAAAAGAAAATTAGTTGAGTTGGGTATTGCTGAATACGAACATAATTTGCAATTTGCAGATGACAATAATGTATATAAAGCGTTCAAAATTTTGAAATCGATTATAAAAAAGAAAGTTTTATGCTTGAAAAGAAACATAACATGAAATGTAGGACAAATAGTCCATTTGAGTTGAGAAATGATTCGAGTATGTTATTGTCTAAATAATCGTCTCATTATGTCTTCGAGAATGTACAAATTTTTCAAGCCTTCAGAAGTGAAAGTAGTGGATAGTTATCGTACACATGATCACACATACACATTGTGTATGTTACTCGTGGAAAACGTTTAGCTAAATGTGCTTATATTCCTTATTTTTAGCATGGACATTTACGAGCTACATGAATAGTATACGGTATCTTCATACAGCTTCTATCTTGAACGATGGAAAAGTTCTAGTTGCTGGTGGATATGGATATGAGGGGTACAGCTTTTGGAAATCCTTCAATAGTTCAGAATTATATGATCCAGCAACAGGAAACTGGACGAAAATGGGTAATATGACTATTGCACGTTATTCTCACACAGCTTCTACTTTGGCCAATGGAAAAGTTTTAGTAGCCGGTGGATACTTCTATGATGGATCTAGTGATCGGAGGTACTTGAATAGTTCAGAATTATATGATCCAACAACAGGAATCTGGACAAAGACGGGTAATATGAATGTTGCACGTTACTACCATACTGCCTCTATTTTGGCCAATGGAAAAGTTTTAGTAGCGGGTGGATTCTTCTATGATGGATATAATTATTGGGGACCCTTGAATAGTGCAGAATTATATGATCCAGCAACAGAAACCTGGACAAAAACAGGTAATATGACTATAGGACGTTATTATCATACAGCCTGTGTCTTGGCCGATGGAAAAGTTCTGGTTGCCTCTGGAGACGGATATGATGGATATGGTAATACTGTATACTTGAATAGTTCAGAATTATATGATCCAGCAACAGGAATCTGGACGATGACGGGAAATATGAATATTGGACGGAAATTTCACACAGCCTCTGTCCTAGTCAATGGAAAAGTTTTAGTAGCTGGTGGATACTTCTATGATGGACGCACTTATGGACAAAACTTGAACAGTACAGAGCTATACGATCCAACGACAGGAACCTGGACGATGACAGGGAATATGAATATTGGACGGGTAGATCACACAGCCTCTGTCTTGATCAATGGACAAGTTTTAGTAACTGGTGGATACATCTATGATGGATACAGATATCAAGACTTGTACAGTGCCGAACTATATGATCCATTAACAGAACTTTGGACAAAGACAAATAGTATGAATGTTAGACGAGAAGGTCATACAGCTTCTGTCTTGACCAGTGGAAAAGTCTTGATTACTGGCGGATATACTGGAAGCGGTATTTCGAGTAGTGCCGAGTTATATCAATAACGATTTTTTTCTTTAAGGACATAGTTTCTCTTCAATTAATATTAAACAAATTTTTTTTTCTAATCAATGTATCCTGATTTTTGAACTACAAATTTTACAAAACTTTTTGCTAAAATCTTTTCCTGAATAAAAGACATATAGAATGATAGTAGTATTTTATAGCTCAAGAGATGATCAATTGATGGCATCGTTTTCATTGATTTACGCATATTGCTTCTAGTATTCTCATCCATTATCTGAAAACATGCTGATGGTGAACAGTATTATTAAGTGAATGATCTTGTTCGATGTTACAAGTCTATTGATGTTCGAATTATTTAGTTATTTCATGTTTCATCCGACCGTAATTAACTCAGAACTTGACATTATCTTTATGTTATACAATTTCCGTATATAATACTTTCATTAATATTCTTTTCTTCTGCTTCGAAAATGTTTTGATTTGCTTTTGTACATCGAATGAGACGTTTTGATTTTCATTATCCAAAAGTATAAAGTGGAATGACAAACTCAATATATTGGGCGATGATAAACGACCGAAGCCGAATCAGAAGACAGAAGCAGTCTAATTTGTTGATCGGTCGTTTTACGTATATCCATATAGTGCACTAAAAGCGCTTTTATTTTTATAAAATGACGTCCTTATATGATGTGCATTATGTATGTTAGTAAATAAAGCTAATTTTTTTATTAATATTGTGCCTAAAATTGGTGCAGTTACATTTCATTTGGTATAGAAACACGCTGCCTGCTTGATTGATTTCAAGCATATTACATATTTGAGTTATCAACAGAAAAAATTTAACTCTATATATTTGATCATCAAAACATCATCCAAAGGATAAGTCGAGTTGTCAAAGAACTGTTATATGTTAGTCATTTATGAGGTAAAATAGGGACTAGTAGTTATTCGCTTACTTAATATTTTGCAACGACTTATCAATTCCTTATGCTGCTTCGGTCTTCGACTTCCGCTTCAGCCGATTATCATTATCTCAATACTTTTGCCTTTTTCTGTAGATGGCATTTTACATGTATATACCATTACAGTAGTATGCATGATATAATCACTCTTCTCAAGTACTATAAGAGAAGTGATTTAATTTAAATTAAAAACGATTCGATCCTTGTTTTTTTCGAAGTTCTGCAAGATGATAAGTAACATTAAATTGAACTTGATTTGTGAGCAAGACTACAAAATAAGGCGAACAATATTCAAAAGTACTGAGAATTGCCTATCTGGGTGTGGGTGTGGGGGTGGTTGTGGGTGTGGGTGTGGGTGGGTGTGGGTGTGGGTGTGGGTGTCGTTATGGGTATGGGTGTAAGATGTGGATGAATAGAAAATTTACACCCACATACCACAGTTGCGCCCACACTCACACCCTCATACTCACAGTCACAGCCACACCCGCTTATCAGCATTTTTTATATGTTTAAATTCGATTAAGGAATGATAAATAGGTTAAATTATATTATAAGACATCCATTCCGTAAAAAATAAAACTTGGAAAGACTATAATTTTATTCGATTTTTATTGATTTAAAGATAGATTAAAATCTAATTTTTCTTCATGTGATAATTCAAGCGATATCAAACGCGAAAAGTCATCATCGGTGATTATGGTGCACCGATGGCTAGTGGACTGGTGAGCTGCTGTCATTGTCGTATGCCTAGACGAGCCTTTATTGTTTTTAGATAGTGATTAATAGTTATGTAATACTCTTTTTTGTTGTACGGCTGAGATGGGACGACAAACACAACGAAGGTTAACATGGGTGGGATGAATGAAATAAAATATCCAACAAGAGTCAATGACGATTTCCGAGTTGATTCCATACATCCGGATACAAAAATGATAACTAGGTGTGGGAAAGCTAGAATCACTAATGTAAATCCGGAGATGAGAAGATGATTATGTTTTCTAAATTGATCAGATAAGTGTTGCGTATAAGACTTATCTTTGCGGACTAATGAGCGTCGTCGGGCAGTTACGGTGATGATAAGAAGAACTGAAATCAAATGTATGACCAATGGAACCGTAAAATGAAAAATCTGAATCATGTTGTCGATGACTTGGACATTTGGTGGGTATCTGACAATACACCAGATTCTCTTCTCATTCTCATTCTCATTCTCATCATCATCATCATCATCCAAGAGGCTTCGATTCAAAGGATCATGAATACAAGTGCCAGTTGTTAATAAAATAAGAACGAGAATTACCGATTTTGCAGCTTGCTTGCTCTTCTTTTTATCGAATTTGATTCCTTTGATACCGCTAACTGCTCGTTCAATGGTTAAACATGCATTTAACCATTGGTCCATACTCAAACAGATTCGAAGGAGAAAATCAATTGAAATACATTGAACATGAAGAAATTATCTGTTAGTAATAAGTCCCATCTGTGAAAATATAAGAATCCAGAACTTAAGTGTAAATACAGTCATCGTTAAGAGAGTAGTGATCGATGAATCTATTAGATAAAAACCACAACCAACCTCACATAATCTCTTGTTGAATGTAATAAAAGAAAGAATTCCGTTGATGAGTCCTATCACTGTTATCACTATCGATAATATCAGACTGATTTGTATAGCGAGCGGTTGATGATGAAGACTAACATGAGGTAAAATATGATAACCTACGATGGCATCGAGTGAAACGTCAAAGCCCCTTGTACTGAATTGACATTGTTTTCCATAAAAACATGCTGGACATGCATAAATCGATGTTTGAGCACAAAGAGGACTATCTTGGAAGCAGCGAGCTCCATTTTCACATCCACTTTGACCAGAACAATCGAATTTCATGTTATGTTCGAACTCACAGCAGTTGGCCAAACGTTGATTACCATAGTTTTCACAAAGACAAAGATGAACAGCATCGTAGAAGCATGATAGATTATGTGACGATTGTCTTTGATGAGATGGTAGATGATAGTATTTCATACAGCGAAGAAGATGCTAGTCAACAATAGTTTCATTGAAAAATTCACTAATGTTTGCACACGTATCTGATGGATTTATAATCTTATTGATAATTGTCGATTGATTGTATGTATTTTGGGCAACTATAAAATAGTAACTTTTGTGTAATAGTTCGACAAACATAATATGAAATGGGCGCGACCACTGAACAGCGACTGAATCTTTTTGGATAGGAATAGTTTTGAAATTAGTTGCCATTTAAGGTGGAGAATTGTTAACTACTTGAATGAAATGAACAAGCATCGATTGGGGTAGAGAAATATCTTTGTGAAATGATATGATTATTTTAGTATCAGAAATCTCACATCTTTCTCCAGTGAATCCTTTCGGACAAATACATGTGTGTTTCTTTTCAGAATTGATGTATTCATCTTGAGAAATACATTGACCACCATTTTCACATGTGCCATTTTGACCCGATTGACAAACTAGATTGGTGAGAAGACATCGAGGTCCAAATCGGTTAATTGGGCATACACATATCGATCGATTTGTATATGAGAAAGCTGAGCATAGAGAATCTGATGAACACGTGCAATTATGCGAAATCGTGCATAATTTTCCAGACCATCCTTGATGACATCGACAAAAAGTAGTAGTAGTTAGTGTATTGATATATTCAATACATTGACCATGAAGGCATTGCTGATTTGAGCAAATTTTAGGTGCTACTTGACTAGATGGAATTTTTAGCTTCAGTAGCTATACGATGTACTGGCAAAAAAGGAAAAGTGAGTGATAGAAGAAAACTTCCTCGATAGACCAATGAGATCTTCTCATAAATATCGATATGTATTGAATAGATGTTCGAATGATTTTTCGGTCGAGTTGAATAGAATAGATAGACACTAAATTTGATTTCAGTCTCTCATAGCTAGATACGTGAATTGTTGTTGGGAATGAATGACTCGATGGTCACTATCATCAATAAGTGAGATAAGAATAACAAAAGGTATTCTCCATACATCAGACAAAGCTTGAAATCTCATAGTAAGACTCACTCGTTGATTTTGATATTGGCACATACCTCCATAGAAACTAGGTGGACAGAGACAAGTCATTGCAGTCCAGTTCTTTTTACGATTCAGCCATACTTGCAGATCAAGACCACCATGACAACGATGATGATGCTGATGAAATTTTCGAAAAATTGACGAACTAGATTGAGGTGTTACTCTATCATGTTTAGTATCGTTACTCGTCAACTTCGAAAGTTTATCAAGTGAAAAATGTACTATTTTTTGCTTACTAATTGCAGAAAACCAGTTTCAAATAAAGCTTTCTACATCTGAATGTATCCATTTATTATGACTTGAGCAAATGCCATCTGTAATCGAATAATTCTTCATGTAGTTACAAAATTGTCCATCATCTCCATGCGGGCAGTCTTTCTTACCATTACACGCCGATTCAACAGGTAAGCAATGATTATCGATATCGTTCATGCATTTAAAATGAAATCTAGCCAATACATAATTACTTGGCCGACATTATTTTGACTCATCAGTGTCACCAATACAATCAAAATTGCCATCGTTTGCTTTTTGAATAGGCAGGCATGTCAATTGATTCGTTTCAGGCGAAACATACACGTGATGTTGCAAAGGACAATGAATTAAGGGTGAACAATCATAATCGACTTCATCAACTCCATCGAAGCAGTTCCAGATGCCATCACAATGTGTGTAAGTGTTATTGCATGACCACCATTTACATTCTGTTTCATCCGTTTCATTTCGACCATCGATATTTACTGGCCAGAATTCAACAAATCCATCACATATTGTTTGAAACGAGATGTGACTAATAGCATAGTATTTATCAGGACTTTCATCTTCACATAAACGAAAATCATATTTTTCACAATCGCACACAGTGTCTTCAACACGATCATATGAAATACATGTATTGTTAATACTACAAGTGAAGGGTTTTCTATATTGTTTCATTGAACAAGTGCCATTAATCACAGTCATCTGTTCATCATCACAATAAAAACAATCGATCACATTATCATTTAGACGATATTTCGAGATGCATTTGGTGGAATTGACGTATTGATACATATTTGGTCTTTTACAATGTATCAAATCATTAGTTATTATTGGATTGTATCCCAACAGTCCAACGTACGCATTTATAATATAATCATTAATACTTCCTCGTGTAACTACTAATTAAAAATAATACCAATATCTGAAGGTTGGAAACATGTAACATTATTGAATACAATATGCGGCTTGACAATGAAGTGTTCTATAAAAACTTGATCACTTGAACATACGTATTGAGGTGCTACTGGATGTGCTGGAAAAAATCAGGCATATCTTTTGAGTACGCAAAATATATGTGACCAAATAACACTGGAGCAGTTGGTACTAACAGCATATCTGGACAACTACGCTGGATTATATTAAGACAATTTTCGTTTTGCCATAAACTTGGGAGGAACATCTAATATCTTCGCATTCAATAGTTGGTTCAGCACGATAGCACTGATAGGGTCTGTTAGCGATAAAGTTCATTTCATCAGATTCATCAAGACAATCAGAAGTTACAGCATCATCATTTACGAATGCAGATGGGATCCATTGTCCATTGGCACATCTATACTCATTAGGTCCACAATCATTGATTTCCAGTTGCCAACAATTTTGCTCCTCGAGACCACCATCGAGACAATCTACTTTTCTGTTACAGATTTCACTCCAATCGAGACATGATGGATGTGGATCTCGAATGCATTTCAAATGAGTGTAACATGTAAATACAGTCGATTCGTATGGGTTATTTCGATGAAAATTATGAATCATCTCAGCTAGTGATGAATAATCAGATTCATAGTAATCAAATGAATATTGACACAATGGACCAAACAATGGTAATGTACAATTGTAGACAAGCTGTGTCCCTTGTGATATTACATAAGAAATTGATAGTTGATTCGAATATAACTGATAGTTTTCTATAATATCAATTGGTGCCCACCATAGGTACAAGTGATGACTAGTAATATTTTGCTTATTGAGTTCCGCAAAAGAAAATATTTGATTATGAATATTATTTTGTATGTTCCATTTCGATGGCCATTCACTCAAGCAGTAAGAAGTAATTTGACGAGAATAATGTTTATTCTCAGTTGAAGCTTCCACAATCAAATAATGGTGATGTGTTCCAATGTCATTCTCAGAGTCGTCTACCAAATTTGTATGATGAAGATTGATTTGAGGACCAGCGATAATCGCATGCAAAAATATCACATAAAGAAACTTTATACCGCGCATCATTTGTTGTTCGAAGCAAACTAAATAGAAAAGTTTCAATTAAACTTGAAGAAGAGAACCATTATGAAAATGAAACATGTATTCTTTTTGTTACTACAGTTTTTCGAAACAAGTCTGTACCATCATGAGAGAGAAAAGGTTTACAATAAAGAAAAACGAAATCTTACTATTTGTTCTTCACTTCACTGTGACTGATGGATGCAACTCGTTCAATAAATGTACACTAATCATAGAAGCATTAATCCGAATGTACATGTCTTATTCGTTATCCATAACTATTCAATAGCAAGTAGGTATCCAACGAGAAATATTAACGAGCTACGCTGGCTCTCAGAAAAAACATGCGAAGGTTTAAAATATACAATGTAATTGACTGCATTCGGTTGAAATATGATAATGTTCAGTCTGTAACTAATGTTCCTTTATGTTGCATTCCGATACAATCCAGTAACAATGTCATACGGTAGAGGTGTGCAGGGTACGCTTTTTTGTACCCTGTACCCTGTGTGAGCACATTTCTTACACCCTTGCCCTACCCTACCCTGTTGCATTCGTACCCTTGCCCTACCCTACCCTGTTTCATCCGTACCCTGCCCCTACCCTACCCTGCTACCCTATAGTTTTCTTATTGTCCTTCGCTCTTTCACCATCCAAAAGATTCTAAAAACGATAAGTTACAGAATAGTGGCACATTTTCTTGGTTCATTTTTATTTTCATTACAACATATTAATTTATAATTCCTCTGAAATTTCTAATAAAAAATATGCCATCAACAATATCGTCATTTAAGCTTTGTCGTCGTTCTTCAAGGATCCGACCATTTGCACTATATATTCTTTCACTGGTACATGAAGTAGCTGATATACCAAATAATTATCTGGCAAAAATACTAAGTTTTATATACGTTAATGCCCATTTTTTCCACCACCTTAATACGAATTCTTCATGAGGGTGTGGGTGTGGGTATGGAACTTCTCTTCACCCATACCCACACCACCCACCCAATATTAAATCAATTATCTCAACAAATCAATATAAATAAATAAAAATTAACTACTATTCACAATATTATTTAAAGCAAATCAGTAAATAAGTATAAATAAATACAAAATCAATTGTAATTCACAATACTATTCCAAATAAATCAATAAATAAATATGAATGAATAATAAATCAATCGAAATCACAATACTATTTCAAGTAAATCAATAAATATGAATGAATGATAAACTAATTGTAATTAACAATACTATTTCAAATGAATCAGTGAACGAATTTATATAATCATAAATGCAATAAAATTATACTAGTATTTCAATTCAATTAATAAAAAGAAGTCCTAATAATTAATAAATTGATCTTGACTCACAATACTAAGTTCAGTAGATCAATGATAGAGAAGATGATGAATAATATGGGATATTCCTTCCTATCTGTTTAATCCTATCATTAAGTAAAATGACTAATCCTTTTTCAATCCACTAGAATAATCAGACGAGAAATTTGCCACTAGACTATGATCATTCTTCAATAATCATGTGAATATATCAAAATAATGAATAATAACCCATTTACAAATAGGAATTAAGACGATTTTATTCTATTACCCTTACCCTACCCTACCCTGTAGCAGTCTTACCCTGATCCTACCCTACCCTGCAGCAGTCTTACCCTGACCCTACCCTACCCTGCAGGGTAGGGTAGGGTAACCCTGTCCACCTCTATCATACGGTGTCCTATACAGTACATATTCACTTATTATAACTGTTTCTTTTTTAATCAGTATTATTGAAGCATTTTAACTTCATATTTAGTTTCTTTACACTACCAAATATTAATTAATATCTTTGTGACCTATCTAAAACTACTAGTCTTTCATGATCAGATGTCTCTAGGAACTCATTTGTGAGTAAATCATTTGTTTGTGTATCCTTGGTATTAAGAAAAACGGCTTTGCTTCATGCATAGTTCGAAGCAATTTTATTATTGACTTTTCACACCAACCGATAAGATCTATTATAATCTATACTGTAAATTTGAATGCAGTGTTGTAAAACATCTAGAAATAGAGTAGAATAAAAGCATTTCTTTTTACTAGGAATTTCTAAAGTAAGCAAAACAGAGTGTATTTATTTAAATGCACAAGTACTTAGGACATATCAGAAATAGTGGTGGAATTACTTTTCTCCTATAAAAAAGCTTGAGTACACATTCTTTTCATATATAATGATAGCAAAAGAAATATTTTATTTTTATGCGATGCAATCGGCAATCCAATAGATATTCTGATGCGTCAATTAGGTATTGCTTTATGCCTCAAAATTCAAGGTAGAATATATTGATGCTCGTTTTCAAATAGGTCAACGTCTGTGATGAATGCGTAAAACGTGAAGTTTTCGACCAATCGAATAATTTTAACATAGAGAATCAAGATAATAATACAAATTTGATAGCTGCTTCTGTATTGATAAATCGGCATCAGTAGTCTAAATGCAGAGAAAGAGTTGAGAACATATGGACTTACAGTGAATAGTGACAGAAAATTTAAACTAAATATGAACTAATTTCCTTTTGTAACTGTCATATTCTTTCTTCTTAGATGAAGAGTACTTCCGGAGATCCTTTTCCCGTTCAAACTATATAGAAGTTTTTCAGATTCTTTAGCTTGATATTATAAATTTTCGTCAATAAAAATTCGGCAGC